TACTGCGCTGCTACTCGCTGCTGCTACTGCTGCTGCTGCTGCATACTACTGCCGGCTGCTAACTGCGGCTGCTGCTGCTTGCTAACTAGCCTGCCGCTGCTACTGCTGTGCTAACTAGCTGCTGCTACTACTACTACGTAGTGCGTGCTTGGCTGCTACTACTGCAACTGCTACTGCTGCTGCTACTGCTGCTTGCTGCATGCACACTGCCGCTGCATACTCGCTGGTGCGCTGGTGCCTGCTAACTACTGCTACTGCTGCATGCTGCTGCTGACTGCTGCTGCTGCCTGCTACACTGCCGCTAGGCTACTGCTGGTGCTACTGCTGCTGCTAGCTACTACTACGTGTGCGTGCTGGCTGCTACTACTGCTACTGCTACTGCTACTTACAGTGTACCGTGCTGCTGCTACGCTGCCTACTACGTCGTGCGTGCTGCTGCTACTGCTGCTACTGCTACTGCTACTACGTGTGCGTGCTGCTGCCTATCTACTACTACTGTACTGCTACTGCTTACATGCACTGCTACTGTACTGCTTACTGCTATGCTACCTACTACTGCTACTGCTACTGCCTACTGCTACACTTAGCTGCTTACTCGTGTGGCGTGCTACCTACGATGCGGTGTCGGCGTGCGGTGCGTTGCATAACTAACTAATTAGTATAGTAGAGATCAGTGGGGCGATGCAGGCAGCATCGGCTGACACATGTGACATCGCATGATACGTGATGCTATTTATGGTATGTTATGGCTATAGATATATACCAAAAATAATAAACATAATAGTATATATAGTATATTATATATAATTAATTATTATATATATCAGCGGATTGCTTACCTGCTGGATGCAATGGACCCGTTTGCCTTTGGGGTCCGTAGATGGGCTTCAGAGGGTCCATGTACAGGCCGCATAAACATATTGTGTTTATCGTAACTTAGTGCATTTTTCTGGAAAGGGGTCCGTAGCTTTTCACCAGATTCTAAAGGTCCATTGACTCAAAATAAGGTTTAAAACCTGATATAATATTATATTATATATATATAATATATATTATTATTAGTAATTCTATGGTACACCCAACGAAACGTGCTGTTTACTGTCACGTACCGCCATCTAGTGGCACTTGACAGGGATGCACAAATTTCTAATCTTGCCGCATACATACAGGTTATTTCGGCGTGCAAAAAATATTCAAAACATATTAACCGTCAACCGGTAAGACCGCGTAAGCATTGTTTTGTGTATGAATTTTTTGTTTGTGAAAATTCTAAAATATTGAATGAATAATAGAAACTGAATAATTATCGAATAAATTATATTAGGAACAATTTTTGATAATATATAATATTGTTGCTGCTTCTTTTCGAATCCGCAATTCAAATCTGCGATTTTTTCATGAAAAAAATAAGAAAATACGAAACGTCCTGAATAGGTTGGTAAAATAATAGAATTCGGATTTCGTTTCCCCTGGTAGTTTACCCATATACGTTGATAATCTTTGTAAATTAGACATTGTTTTCGTTAAAACGTTCTCGAAAAGCGAACATCAGTTTTTTAGCCCGTTCACACGAGACCCTGCGTATTTATGAATACCGGTATTTGCGAAATACCGAATCTGAGACATATACGGCGGCCGAGCGTTCACACGCTGATTCGCCGGCTCAGAATACGGTTATTTGCGCCAGCTGCGTAGCCTGCCTGAGACAAATCAACGCGAACAATGCGAAATAAAGCAATGCAATGCGAACCAACTGCCGATAAAATAACGTTAATGGTCCTGCGCTCGACAGTTACCACTCGCGTTTACACTGGAAACTGTCTCACGACTAGCGAACCAGTCTTCAAAAATACGCGGCTTCAGAAAATCCGCGTATTTAGCGTTTCACACGCAGGAAATGCCGGCGTCCAAGAAAATCCGGATTCTCAGTCACGCAGAATTTCGGGTCTGGAAGCCGCGTATGTACATCAAATACGCAAGATGCTGTTAGATACCGGTATTCCTGACCGCGCATTTTGCCTCGTGTGACGCTAATTACCGGATTTCTTGCTACGTGTGAACGCGGCTTTTGTTCACGACCAACTCTCTCTCCACTTCTTTGTTGTATTATTTTTCTGATGTTTCGATCACGCGGCATGGTCATATGCTGAGAAAATTTCTGTTGGGGAAATATTTTAAAGAAATGAATCATATGTGCGATAGGGTGAAATGATCATTGTTGGTTTTTGTGGCAATTTCTAATTGTTTTTGTCAATTTTAATTTTGCCTCATTATTCATTGTATATATTTTCGGGTTACATACAATCATTACCTAATATTGTTTTTTATTTTGCTCCAAAATCTTGGGTGTAGCCGACCCCCTTGCCCACAAGACTATACGACCTGGACACAGCCAAGCAGGTACTGTTATCTCATTGGCATGTAAATGATAGCAATCGAAGGAAATCGATAAACCAAATAAAGCAAAAGAACAAATTTTGAATCAATTTCACGTACAAATTCATTCGATATTTATTTACATACCTCATACACGCCGAATTTCTCTTTGCACTCAATAATATTACAGCAATAAACCGACGAAAAAATAGACCAAAATGTTAATCGTTGCATTGATGAAAAATGTCAGTAGTCCGGAAGGCTTCACACATCAATATGAACACAGAACCCACGCTTAGAGAGACAGAGAGAGCGAGAGACAGAGAGAGCGAGAGACCATTATCAAGACTTAGTGCTTTACCTGCCGGGTTAGAAGTATTAGCTGCACATTTTCGAATATCTACATGTATGCGTGTGCGTGTATGCGCACGCGTGCGTGCATGCGTCCGTATGCAGTGGGTGTGCTTGTGTGCGTGTGCATGCTTGTGTGTGTGCACGCGTGCGTGCATGCGTCCGTGTGCAGTGTGTGTGCATGCGTGTGTGCATGCTTGTGTGCGTGTGCATGCTTGTGTGCGTGTGCATGCTTGTGTGTGTGCACGTGTGCGTGCGTGCGTGCGTGCATGCTTGTCCGGCCCCCGTCATATCCTAACCCCCATCATATCTTAACCCCCATCATATCCTAACCCCGTCATATCCTAACCACCATCATATCCTAACCCCCATCATATCAACCCCATACATATTCCTAACCCCGCCATATC